GTTACAAACTATGAAGGCTGTTGAACCCTGAGAATACCCATTGCGTCATGAAATTAACTCAATGCAGCCTGACAGGGTTCTTCAACCTTCCTTCAGGCGCTGAAGTGTGAATGTGGCGATCTTCTACGCATTAGGTTCGAATTTGTTTTCAATAGCAGCTATAGACCGAATTTTTGTGTTTTATTGGTGGATTTACATGGCTTTCCCAAGGACATATAAGTTTTCATAATGAAATTCTGGGTACTGGACTATTAGTAGAGGCTGACCTTGGCACTCTCGCCCCCGTCCCCGTAATGAAATACGGGCTGTTTTTAAATAATAAACACAATCCAAAATTTTCCCTAAACATATTCAAAATTTTTTCCTGAATTCTTTGATTTATGCTCAAAAATCTGTGAATAATAACCAAAAAGGTTAAAAGATTTCGAATTTTGATGAAAAACCTTGAAATTTTTAGGGCTTTTGATAATTAAAAACCGCTAAAAACTATATGAATCGACCATAAAAACGCGTATTTTTACTGTGGAACTATACATATAAATAACCTGCCACATAACGCAGTCCAGTACCAATTTCATTTGAAAACTTTGTTAATAAAACTTGTTTAGAATAGAAAATCTGGATTAAACGTCTATTTTCAGGCCCAAAGATTCTCGAACTGTCATGTCTTCCCGATCGCCACGATCATCAGCAAAATCGGATATTATGCAGAAAAAAGTTTGGGGCCGCGCCACCACCAATACCGTATCTTGAGGAATCAAGGTGGTGAGGTGATTTTCAGCGAATTGCTGCAATTTCCGACTTCCCCAATTTTCTCTGCTAACTCGACCCTTTTCGAACCGCCGAGGACGATTACTGACAGCAACTGGAGATGAGGATCTGGCAGCACAGCGAAGCACAGACCCTTCAATTTCCGAGCCGGCGCGCGAAAAATAGTATCCGCCATTTAATTTTATGACGTAATCGATTGTATCGCGCGGTCTGGGACTATTCATACCGTAGTCGGTGATATCGGGTTGATGAATTTGCCATTTTGTGATCATTATTTTTTCGGATTAGATTGTGCGCGTGTAAATAAAGATGGGAGATTTAACGCATTGCAGGATGAAAAGCACATCCAGATACATGGCGTAATGGCTTTTCGTGATTTTGTGGGTTCCAGGGCAGCGAGCAGAGCTTCTTTCTGGATGCGCAGCAACGAAAGAACGCCCGAGGATTAAAGGACCAGGATTTAGCAGATTTAACGTAGATATCGCTTCTGAATTACGCCTGGCCTAATTGGATGGAAATTCAGTGGGTATAACTGGGTAACGAGGGATACATGTGGCAACGAACAGAGATTCTTGCGGATTGAGGGCGGGCAGTGATCGCTTCGCGCATGGGAGTAGAAAACAGAGATTCTTGAGGATTTCCTGAGCCAGCCATTGATGTTGAATTATTGTATTCAACAGCCCCATTCCCAACCCACGCTTCAGAATAAATTCGTCAACGATTTTTGCGAAACGGCTCGCTGGTTGACCGGAACAAAATTGCGCCCCCATTCATCGATTTTTGTTTTGCTTTTTGATATTACGACCCGGATGCGGTGGTAACATATTTTTTCACGTTTTGCTGGGGGCCCCAAAAAATCTCTCAAATATAGGGTTATGTTTAACCGCATTTCAGGGACGTATGGGCATTAAAATGAGTGCATGCGTAGAGATATCCATATCCTGCACCGTAAAAGTCTTGGAACAACGCGTTGCGTTTTAACTCAGCAATTTATGCTATTTTTGGTCTGATTTTTGATGATGACCGGAAAGATCATCTTTCCGGGCGTCATCCCCCTCTCGATTTCTCGTGATTCGAACACATCCGCCCACCCATACCGTTTTTTGATTAGAAATTGAGACCGGGAATGGTCAGGGGAAGGATATTTTGATGGATGGATTGGTTTCTTTCCATCATCCCCCTCAGTGCTTCTCCTTTTCCATCTCTTGCTCTCTCCCTCTTCCTTTATTTCCCACCATCAATCTATCAAATATCACCAGCGGAACCCTCCAATTCCCGACGTTTCATTTTTTACGCGGCATTTTTTGTCTTTGTTTTGGGATTCGGCTCTCATTTTCATCACCGCAAATCACTGTCGTTTTCAGCTTTATTTTTTTTCCTTCTTAAAATTGTTTTTAAAATATCTTATTTTTATTTTGGAAACTACTTTTTGCAGAGTTTTGCGACGGATTGTTCAGATAATTATAAATCCAGGGCGTTTTCCTTTCTGACATAAACTCATCGATTTTCTTGTTGTCGTCTGCTCATGGAACTTTTTAAAAGGAAAGGCAACGCTTTTTGTTTCCAATCTTCTGGATTTTTTGACAAAAAAGAATAAGAAAGGACGTTTTAAATTTTTTTTGAAGAACGTTTTGGCAGTTGCAAATACGTTACGTTTTTCTTGATTAAATGATGGATAAGTCTATTTCTAATTGTCGAGTATCGTCATAATAGAAGATCTCCAATGATAACCATCAAAACAATCGACTACTCTCTTTCCGTATCGATATGTCGATGAAACCCGTTTCCCTGTTTTGACAGACTCTCTCTCTCATGCTGTTATTATCGCTCATTTTTCTTATTCTCTAAAGATCATTTAACTGCTTTTTCAGGGCCAATTTAACCTGCAAAAAATCGGGATCCTAACCCGATGTCCTTTGCCCCATTGGACAATGCGTCGTGGCGGAGTCTGATCGCTTTCTGGTGCGTTTTTAAAGGGTAGCTGGCCCTGCTTTTGAGGTGAATTACATGGCGTAATCGATCTGTTTAGGACATTCGGGCTATGCAACACGATCCCTATATATTGATGCTTTCTGCAGCAGAGGATATCATCGATAAGGACCATATTCATCATGGGCATATCAATGGCACTTGTCCGGTGGGTAAATCGACATCCGAAAAAGCTAAAGGCAAGCTAGCAGAGACCATTTGCGGAGCCTAACTTTCGTGGATTTTTTGGCTTGAGAATTGTTGAAGCACCGAATTTTTCAGGTAGAACGCGGCACTCAACATTGCCAGGGTACCAAATCGACTGGTCACGTTTTGTTAGCTGATATTCTCCCTAGTTTATTCATCAAGATTTTCGTCATGTTTTTCTTGCAAGCAGTACCTTACTGGTTAGTAAAAAATTATCATTTTCGATATTTCTCTATCTGTCTCACTTTGTGTCTCCCTCTGGCTCGCGCGCTCTCTCTCTCTCTCTCTCTCTCTCTCTCTCTCTCTCTCTCTCTCTCTCTCTCTCCTCTCTCTGTCTCGCTCCCTCTGTCTCGCTCTCCCTGTCTTCAAGAATAGTATATTTTTAGGATCCGTCATACTCTCGTTATAATCTCTCAAATGGGCGCTCTATTGATCGTGGCCACCGCCAAAAGCTATTCCATGGCAATACTCGGTACGGAAATTCAGTCAATACCTTACCAAATCACGAAATTTAGGCGTTTCCCTAATCTCAGCCGCCGGGGGGTTGGGCGAATCATCGATGGTATCCTATTCTTCTCATTTTGCTGCCTCGACTACGATAGCATGGGCATCGGGCACTGGGGCTGCTGGCATGATTGGTAAGAAAAATATGGGCGTTACTTCATGGAAATCAGCTTCAAATTTAGCAGCTATGGTATCGTAGTTTTACAGGAGAGTTTCAGCAAAATTTAACTATTTTAGCGCTTGATTTTTAGCTGTCTCGATCCATTTAAACTTTAAATCATCGTGATTTTACGATTTGGTGAAATTTTCCCAATTACACTAACTTTAAATTCGGAAACCACAGTATCAAAATTTTAAAGGGATCGTTACGGTAGAATCCGGCATTTTCAAAATCAGGGGTTTAGCTGTCGCCATTCCTTTAAAGCACTATTTTCCCAACTTTAGGCTCTATCCTCTACGCCGGGATGACCGAACCACACTTGGGAAATCTGACAGCAGAAACTGCATTGATGTTAATGTTGGTAAGTAGAAAAATGCATAGCTTTTCATGGCTTCAGTGGACCTTTAAAAGGTCTAGGATTCGCTGAATTCGAATCCACCTGTTGCGCCATTTAGCCATTATAACTGAATTTTTAAAGCCGTTCGGTCATGTTTTTAGGGGAACTCGTAGCTGCCGAGGCCTAGTTTTTTGGAAGGGACGATTTTAGCACTTCCGAGCCCCTTTAAAACTTGATTTCAGTTCTTCCCGATTGCGTACACCACCGTATTCTATCTGGTACTCGATCATTCCTCCAGTCTATGCTTATTATGTCGAAAAAGGAAAGGAATCCTCCGCTCCTGGAGACCCGGAAAAATCAGAAAAAGACGTTGAAAAATCGCTGGAATTGGTGAAGGGAAATTGGATGGAAAAAGCTGTGCTAATCAAGGTTATTTTTGACAATTAACAAAACCATAAATCACAACGTTTAGTCACTTCTTCGCTTCGCCATCCCCCTAATCCTGGTCTACATGGCCGAATACACGATTAATCAAGGATTCGTTAGTTTTGCGTTAGACTATGAACTACAAATTACCCTTCCAGACCCAATTGATCGTTTTGATTGTGCGGAATGGAATGGGGCTGACGGCCAAGAGCCAATATCGATGGTTTCAGGTAGGGAGAACAAATTTTTGCGAACAGTATAAAGGAATTGGCAAAAACGACCCTACTTATCGCTACGTCTCGACAACTCTGTAACTCACCAAATTACGCGTTTTTGAAAGAGTTTTTGGCCGTAATAACTCTTTTGAACGCGTAATTTGTCCTACCGCGTTGTTGTCAAGGTTTTTTAGCTGTAACCATCCCTTTAAGCGCATTTAATTCATGCGAAAATCGATATTTTAGGTGGTCTACCGTGCCGGGACCTTCATCTCCAAATCCTCACTTTCCATCATCGATTTCCCCGTCTGGGTCCTCTACTTATTACCCGTACTTCAGGTACCATTTTTTCAGGACTTACCAGCTTAAAAATCTACAGTCACTATAAAAATATTTTAGGTCGGAAATGCGATCTTCTTCTACCTGGAAGCCCTGTTCGCCTTCCTGCCCCATATCGCCGTCGCATTCTCCCTAATTTGCATGGAGGGATTGATGGGTGGATCGAGTCTTGTCAAGACGTTCAGCCATATACATAAAAACGTAAGGAATTGGGCGGCTTTTAAGGGGAAAAGTAATTTTTTTGGGGAGAATATTTGAATTTTCCCAAATAGCTGTCGATTTTTCGCTTACTCCAAAATCTCAAAATTTCAGGCCAAAAAAGAAGACAAAGAGTTTTCACTGGCCGTGATGACGACATCAGACTCGATTGGAATCGTGGGAGCCTCATTTTTGGCGATATGGGTATGGTCAACGAAAAAAACGCCAATAAATGCCTTTTAGCTGCACAACCTGATTTGCCAGCAGCTTGAATGGCGGGTGATGTGAGGCGGAAAAGGCAGAAAAATAAAAATAAAAATGAACAATTTAATAAGACGGGAGGACGCAAGTAATAAATAAATATTATCGACTATACCTTAAAGAACACAACAGACACCTTAAAATCGTGATAAAAATTAAATGGATTTGATTTATTTAATTAGTGAACAAATAATGAAAGGGCACGAACACTTTAAAAGCTTAAAAATTGTAAATTAAAATATTCATAGCCATATTGTCTATTTTGGTTATGGATTTTCGATGATTGGAATTATATAATTTTATTTCTATTTAATTCCAAGCCGCATTAATATGCCTAAAATACGCGTCAGTTTCGAGTTGATGTTTGACGACTGGTGGCAATATTTTCCGACGTTTTGACACTGGATTCCAGATTCCGGATCTGCGTCTACGGTTTGAAAATGGCCAGAGAATCGTCAGAATATCTTCCTCGGCAATAACCACGCATAAAACGTAAAAGGAGCGCTGGTAGACGTCGAGCTAAAAAAATATCGAATTTTAAGAGGTCGTTTTGCCCAAAAAACAGAGTTTTAGGCGGTTTTTAGCGATTTTTAAGCTGCGCCACCTCTTTAAAAATACCTACCAGGTCGATAAACATTCGTACTGTAGCGAATTCATCGGCCGTCAAATCGGCAAATGCCGTTAATGATTGTAGCCCCAAAAATATCAGTACGGCCCCAAATTACTGAAGACTAGAGGCACGAAAAATCTGGCTGATGCTCGGCATTCGGCGATTTGGAAGCGCTGAAACCGGTTACAGTAATTTTCAGGCCGTTTGAAATTATATATTGGATGACAGTTTAAAAAATAATATTTTTAGAAACTAGTGAAAGCAATGAAAAACTAGAAAGTTAGTTTCTAAAAGCTTTTGCTGTTCAATCTCAAGGAATAAATGGTTTAAAAATAAAATGCTCAAAAATTTTAGAATTATCTAGGTCCAAATTATAGTTTGGACGACAGTTTAAATATTACACTTAAAATCCAGAAAAATCTATTTAAAATGACTCATAGATCTTTCGAGGTTTGGGTTTGTAAATATTTAGAATGCTTTTGCGCAAAAATTTTTGCTTCCAATTTTCGGAATTTAAAAACAATGTTAGGGATAGTAAATTAAAATGCACATTGAATTAATTAGAACGAATTGTTAAAAAATAGCTTTAAGCCAGAATTTAACGTTTTTCTACCTGACTCAAATTCGCACCGCCATGTCTGCTTTGCCATTCTCTATGCGTAATTATTAAAACGTATATTGTCATCTGGAATGTGTTAAAATTCCATGAAGACAAATTAAGATACCGGAATGGTGACCGATTCGATAATTACCGTCCAGATTACCGTATACACACTTTTTGAGCCCTCTAAAAATTAAAAATTGATAAAATAAAAATATTTACAACTTACGCATGGCCACCATGATTACGGTAAGTAAGAGGGCCAGGAATAAAATGCACAAAATGGAGGCAATTTTTGTGGATGGAGATGACATTGATTCGTATCTAAAATTCCAGATTTAATCCGTATTTAATGGCGTGATCGATTATAGCCATTAGAATCCGAAAATCATGTTATTTTAATGACGTAATTGGCCAGCATTTAATCGATTTTTTTGTGATTTTGCGTACCTCTTCGTATTTCGGGCGCAGTAAAACCGTTCAGCGACAAAAGTCATGAGGGCAGATCGATACCATATCCACCCGAATTGTTTAAGAATAAATAACGGCAGGGGAAACTGAGAAAAATAAAAATAAAAAATCTCACTGACGACCAAACCACCGTAGTCTCTGAAAAACCCGATACCACAGCAAATGCATCGAATAAAAATAGATAGAAGATAGAGCCGGAGAGGATCGAGATGTTCAACCTAAAAAAGAATCATAAATTGGTGAGCTAGCAGAGGATTTTAAGGAAATTATCGGTGGTCTTTCTGATGTCACCATCCCTTTAAATGAAGCACAACTGACCTCAAATTCGAGTGAAACCGTTGCTTTTTGGCTAGTAAAATCGAGAATACAGCCAATATAAATGCCTCCAGTAGATTCAGAATAATATGGCCGAGGCCGATTTGGGTGACCATTTAGGTAATATGTATAGGCGGTTACAAATGACTGTTGGGTAGTGGTAAAGCCTGCAATTAAGATATTGACGAGAGAGAGAGAGAGAGAGAGAGAGAGAGAGAGGGAAGAGACAGAATTTTTGCATCTAATTCTCTAATTCGATTCGTAATGCAAAAACGGGCTAATGCCGTGTGAAATTCGCGGAATTTACACAGACGCCCAACCACCGCCGACCACCAAATTGGGTATATTTTTGCTGTGTTTTCCCCCGGACTTTCCCAGATAGGCGAGCCCAGAGAAATGGTGATTTGGCAGCCGCTTTTGATCACGGAAAAGCAGGCTTCTTAGAATCGCTTTAGCAAAAAAAAACACGCGAAAAATTCATGGCTTGGACTTTGGCTGCTTCCCAAATTCACTAAATCGATTTAGACTATTTTTTTACTACTCGTGTAACCCACGCAAAAACGATTTGTGGCTCTTGTCTAGTGGCCAAGTGGCGACGTTGCAAATTGGTTGGTTGAACACCTGCCAGACTTTAAAAACCAACTTGAGACCGCTTTTTGAGTCCAGTGGTCTCGTCTAAAGTCATTTGTTGCATTCCGTAGTACCGTACCGAAATACAAGGCGTAATCGGTTCAAAATCGTCGAGTTCTTTTTCTGTTTGCCACTATTGGAATACGCGAGGCTCTCCTTGATTTTTAGCGAGGTTTTGGCATGAATTACATTGCGTAATCGATGCCTTTTAGCGTCTAAAGTAACGCCAAAATGGTTTTCTAAAATCTAAACTTATGTCAGTGCATTAGCATAATGTTTAATCTCTCATTTATAAAAGAAAAAATTAAAATAGATTGTAAATAGCAACAACCCGTAGAGTCCAATGAATAGCACACAGGCAAAAAGAAGGAATTGCACCGAGTTTTGATGATATAAGTAAACCAGGAAATATTTGTGGAAATGGCTAATCTGGGAGGCAATTAGATTGGAAAACATACTGCTGTAGGGGAGTGGCTATAAAATGGAAGAAAATGGGATTTGCTGGGGGCCAGTAGAGGGTAAATTATGGGTTTTGGAAATTGGCAGGGCAGGGAAATGGCAGGGAACGAGTAATGCTGAATCTGGTTAGAGATCTTTGTTTCACAACAAACAGCCTGAAAAAAAGGTACATTCTGGCCGGACTTGAACATTTTGGACCTCGATTTTGAAAATAAAATCAAACTTAATTAAAATGCCCGACAAAAACAGCAAATTATTTTCTAGGCGTCATTCGACCGCTCGTGCACGGCAATTTTTTAGCATTTTGACGGCAGAGATGAAGGAGAGAAGGAGAGGCCGGCGAAGAAGAAACGATTCAGCAAGATCCCGTATCCTTCGATCCCGGCGCCATGATTCTTCAAGTTGACGGCCGTCAGAACGACAATTAAAGACATTGCCATCAGCCCGAAGAAGCCCTGAAACGCGTTCAAACAATATCGATCAAAAGTTCGGCAGCGAGGCTAGCAAAGATTATTTTAGGCTTTGTCGGTTCCAAGTTTTCGCCGCGACACGCAACGCGACACGCATCGCATCTGTAAGCGATAGGCGACGCGACCTGCAACGCATGCCTCTCTATTTACACTGCATAATCTATTCCAGCATCGTTTGGCTGGCCGAACGGCGCGTGTGCGTTGCGTGTCGCGGCCTCAGCAAAATCCAGAGGGGATCTATAGGCCAAAAAATAAGGTACCCTCAAAATTTAAACAGACCTGCAGCAGGATATAGTTGCGCAACGTCATAACGGACAATTTTCTGGCGCCGAGAAGGAGAATGCAGTGAAAGAAGAGGTTGAGGAAGAAGAACAGGCCCACCAGGTACGGATGGATTCGTGACCACGGGAAAAGCCTGCCAAACGTTATATTTTAAAAATGCCCAAAATTAAATATTATCGCTTTTTCTGAATTTTTTTCGTCTATTCAAATTTACAAAATTATTAATCTTTTAAAATTATGTTCTGGATGAAGCCATTTATCGATTTCCACCCCTTCCGCCATTGAGAATGCTTAAAATAGTCGGTATGAGCCGCCGCAAGTTTTTTTTACATTAATTGCTAGTGTTCGACCCCCGTCTGGAATTGGCAATGCTGTAGCTGGTCACGCGAGATCAACGAGGTCAAGATGCAGAGCCAAAAATGGCGCGTTAAATTATTATTAAGCTACAGCTAAACGTATCAAAAAATTATGCAAAATTAGAATCTTAAGATAGAAAAAATCCAGGATAATTTTTAATTTAATCAAAACCAACTAAAAAAATCTATATAACTCACTTTACGCTATGATTGGTCGCACACCAGATGAAAATTTCGACGAAAACGCAAATAAGGGAGACGAATAGATTGATGGAGGTGGTAAAGTAGACTTGTCGTTGCACCTTCGTATAGTAATATTCTTGATGGGCCGTCGCTTTGCTTGTCAACTAAATTATTTAAAGTATTGCCATATTGATTAAAACTTTTTAGGCCTTATTTTTACGGGGTTCAACCTTAAAACCGGATTTTTAATTTTTATGGCTTTTTGTGAAACTTACGGAGTTATAAATCCGAGAAGTCTTCATAACGTTTAGTTGGCTAGAAAAATTGCGGGAAAATACGGAACTAGGAAAGGAAAGGAACGGGGAAGTGAATTGGGTAGATGGGGGGGAATAGGTCGAGTAGATAGATTGATGAATGGAGAGAAAAGACAACTGTTTGTCGAGAGTCGTTTTGAAAGACCATCTTTTCTAGGCAAAGAGAGAGAGAGAGAGAGAGAGAGAGAGAGAGAGAGAGAGAGAAAGACGGACAGACAGTAAAGAGCACGGCCGAAGTGTTCATAAATCGATGTACGGATCCAAACGTTTCAGTCCGGCGCTCAAACCCCATATTTACTCCTCTTTTGGTGTCGCTAGTCAAAATAGCTAATCCATCACTTTTTCACCGATTTAACCCTCTTCACCTTTAGTGCTATTTTCGTTCGTTTTTCAGCATCACGATTATCGCCTCAATAGTACGCTTGGACTCAGAATTACCTCAAAAAATAATTTATATTGCGGCCGGAAGCCCGGAGATCACCGCTACTTTAATTGGGGAGGAGGCTATTTTGAGGGGAAGAACGAGGGGTGAAGCTGAACTTAAAGATAGCTTTTAGAGAGTAGCAGCTGCAGCTCCGAGCGGACAATTAACCGATGGACGCCATTTATTGCTGGTCAGTTAGGTGGGTGAGATAGTCATTTTTGGGCAAATACATTTTCGAACATGAAATCATATGATTCGGGCGCAAAAATTGAATTTTTTTTCTGCGAACCGCCCAAAACCATGATTTTCGCCTCTACCCACCTGTTCGAGAGGAATCACGGAATTTCGGGCAGGCTTCGTCATTTGGAAGAGGAATTTTGACGAGAAAGCGTCTGGGATTCAGAATGGCGAATGGGGGACCGGGGAACGGGAAACAGAATATTTCTTCTTTCCGAAAAATTGCTGGAACGGATGGTAATATATTATACGAGAGAGGGGAGGGAGAGGATGTCGTGATCAAATGGCATCCACTGGAAAATTGAGCGGGAGGTTAGCTATCATTTCGAGAAGTTGAGAGACAGAGAGAGAGAGAGAGAGAGAGAGAGAGAGAGAGAGAGAGAGAGAGAATCAGAGAAAAGAGCATTGCCCTTGAACATCTCCTCCAAATTCATCAACTAACCGCCAAAATGAGCGCTGCAAGGAAGGGGAAACGCAGAAAAAAGTGATAAGGAAGTCATTTTAATGGGGGGGGCTGGCGAGCAGATAAGACAGAACACAAATTTAGTACGGCCGCCGGGGATCCGGTCTTTGATATCCGCCGGATCAGGGCAAGTTTGAGATGACTTTCATGGCGTAATCTTTCGCACTTTCTCGATTAATTTTTATAACTTTCAAATTGATTTCACGGGGAACATTAAGTAGTTTATTTATTTATCTGCTTTGTCTTACGTCAATGCTCGTCCTTATTGCCATCACTTTTTACAGAAATTTGAAAATGAGAAGTATCACTCACCCCGGGTATGGCAGGCACGCTTTTATAGGAGGGGCGAAGGGGGGCCATTCTTCTTTGGAAATTGAGGGCCCTGGAATGGAAATCATTCAATTGACTAAAATTCTTCGAAATATAAGTATTAAATTATAAAATGGATGTCAGGAAGCCAAATAAAATATGAAACAAACCATAAAATCGATGAAACAAAGTTTATTCGGTTCGTTTTGGTGCCGAGAATTAGACTAAATCCACCAAAATCGATAAATTTCTAGAGTTTTTGTAGTGTAAATTGTAGTTTGCATGACAGTTAAAAAGAATAAACAATAGAATTTTATGCAAAATAAAAACTAAAACTGAAAACAGATTTTACTAACTTTTTAGTGTAGTTTTTATGAAAAACAACAAAAAACTAAAATATTCAGCGTCAACGGCGCGTCACAAAATGTTGGGTAAATAAAAAATTGTGGCCTTTTTGGGCCGAGAAACGTTGACTGAGTGGATAGAGGCTCTCGAGTTTGGACTGGGTAAATACTTGCCAGAAATGGCAGTCAATTCCAGCCCCGCATCGGGCTCGTTCTGTTTTCCTTTTTCTTTTTGCCGAGTGATGTCTCACCCAAATGGCCCTTTTAGCCGGCAATTTCCTCGAGGATTAACCGGTTCCGCAGCGAATTTGCAAAAAGTTAAACTGTCTGCCGGGTGAACTGTTCGGGGGAAAGCGGTAAATTTGCCTATTGACTTTTAAAATAATGTTTTATCGCTTAAAAATAGCTCCAATACCACTTAAATAAGTTAATTGACTGCCAGTTAGTAATTTTGTGAAAGAAAAGCCCAAAAATTACGGGTAATCCTTGTCAACTGCTTTAAAATTTCAATTCGAGGCAAAAAATGAACTTGCGCTCTAAACAACGTGTTAAAAACGGGAAATTGGGCATTTTTATCGGATCGGAGGTCTCGGAAACAATTGGCATACATTAACTTACATCGATTCCTAAAAAAACTGGTAAAGATTGGTTTAATTTGGCTACATTGCTGAGAACTTCGAATTCCAGGCCAAAATCAAATTCCCCGATCAAAAAGCCTATTGAAAAGCCAGTCGGACCCAATCTTCTATAGAAAATATTTCTCAGTCCCATTTATCACTTTTCCACCTGTTTTTGAATAGTATAATAACCCATGATCATCATTTCGTTCTGAAAAACGCGCATTGACAGTGAAAAACCAGTCACCGGCGAGTGCCCTGTGATGCCCGTTGGGTGCCATCGTGGGGTCAAAACCCGTCCCTCTGTGCCGTTCCCCCGTGGCCGCGTGGCCTAATGGCGAAGGCGTCGGTTTCCGGAGCCGAAGATTGCAGGTTCGAGTCCTGCCGTGGTCGAAATTTTTTGCTTTTTTGGGGATTGATGCAGAACTTCCGGGGAGTACCGGGCAGGTATTTGTTTACTGATTATTGCTTCTATAACTTAATTATGTTGATTTTAAGAGTACAATTTTGACCGTCAAAAAATCACATTTTTGTAAACTTTGGAGTTAGAAAACAAAAAACGCAAGGCCATAATCGCAGCAAAGTTTAAAATATACTATTCTGGAGTACAGTAGGACCAAAAATTCATAAAATGGTGTGTTTTTGCAGTTTTCTTTGAATAGGAAAGCGTGTAATCGAGGAAATGGACTCACTCCAGTGGGATCACACGGATGAGAAATGTGGTATCTTCGTGTTTGGGATTTTTGATGAGCTACGAACGGGTGTTTTACTCCAGGGGGAAAAGTCACGCCTACCAAATGGGGCTTCCGGAAAGCCGAGAAAATAATTTGGAAGCCGTCTAACCTGAGAAATCGCGAAAACACCATCTATATTTAACGTTTCTTCGATGTAATTGTACAAAATAAGCACAAAATAGTCTTTAAAGTAGATATTTATCGAAGCTGACATACAATAATCCCAAAAATTACATTTAATTCGTTAGTAATGCTATTTTTGAGGGATTTGCTCCCTGCCATTTCCGTCCAAAATAAACCCTAATCACGCTCATCCGGCCCCATCTCCTGCTTTTTGGCCGCTACACAAATTTGATAGAAATCTTTATTGCTCTGAAGACACACCGATAAATAAAAATCCAACAAAAAGAGACCCGTCTCCCGTTAGAATAGCCATCTACAAATGGTGCAACATCTTCATGACCGAGTGGTGGATGTCGCGACGCATCCTGAAACTGAAAAAGAGGAAGTAGCCTATTGGGGTAGGGTGTATGGGGTCGTTAAAAGCTATTGGAAACTTGTTTTTGCGAGAAAACGCGGCAAAATGAGTTCCTGAAGTTGTCGACCGATTGTAAATAGCTTGAAAACTTCGTTTTTTTTGGGAAATTGCAAACGCAAGAGCAGTGGTATTTCAGGAAACTATGATTTAACGTGTACAAATGTCGAACTTTTCTGAATGAATAATTATGTAATTTTTTACCCGATCCGGCACTGAATAGCCACGGGGCATCGAAGGGGTGGTGGGGCACAACCAGGGCATTCCATCACCGGCGCTGAACAACGACACGGTACCGGGCGTGGGGCCTAAAGAGAAAAATACACAAATTATAATTATTGATCTAAATAAAGAGATAACTCTATTCATTTTAAAGGCTACCGAGCATTGGCATGGCTGAGGCTGGATTGGCTGGCAGCACGGGTTGGCCGGGGATGGAGCCGCCTGAAACACATAATTTTTCTAATTTCTACAAGAGTTTGGAGAGGTTTTTTAATCGAAAACTGTAAACTGTCGGTCAGAAAAGCGATTGGTAAAAAGTAAGCCTGATCAGACATCAGGTTTAAAAAATTTGAACTGAAGATTCAACTTTTTTGCGCCAATTTTCGATATCTTGTCGAATATCTAGCTAAAAATATGGAAGTTCCGGTTTTTAACCCACCAAACAGCACGGAGGTGGTGGTGGTGGGGCTGGAGGAGCCAGAGCTTGGCAACAAGGATTGGCCGGGCTTGGGGAAGCTTTGCAGCAGATTACTGTCTGAAAAAGGTGGATATATTGTTGTTTTTGCTCTGTTTCTCTCTCTCTCTCTCTCTCTTTCTCTCTCTCTCCCTCTCTCCTACCTGAATATAGGGTGATGGCGGCGCAGAGCATGGACAGCTTGGCATGGGTGCTGGTGCTTGACAACATGGTGGTGGTGGTGGAGGTGCACATGGGCATGGAGGGACCGGGTTAGGCGAGAGACAGCAAGGAGGAGGAGATGGGCGAGGCGCCGCACAACATGCCTACAAAAATAGGATGATTTTAGAATTTAAGCATTTTTAAAACGTTAAGACTACAGATTTTTCCGGAATTTTTAAGGTATTCTGGGAATCCGAGTGATGAAACCGTAAAACGAACCGGACACATAATACAAAGTGGAGGAGGCGCACATCCCATATCATCACATTGCCGCTTATGCCTATCCACTCGCATTGTAGACGAGGGGGAATGCGCCAGCTTTGAGAAATCGGACAGCCGGGCCTGAAAATAGCCTGAAAATAGCCGGGCCTGAAAAATTTTAGAGGCCTTGCGTTGATTTTTTAAGGGGCAGGTTAGCAGAGAATTTTAGGATTATTTGCGGTAACTGAAATTGTGCTGTTCCAATGATCTCGGTTACCTTGTCTCAACTTTTTTGGCTTCTTTAGTTTGCTTTGCGCAGCTTTTAATGCCTAGCCATGCTAGCAGAGAATTTTTAGGAATTCGCGCAGGTCAGCAAAACTGCTTCTCAAAAGATCTCTGCTAGATTACCTCAATTTTAGCCAGCATACTTTTTTTCCCGGCATGTTAAACGCGTGGCACAATAGCAAAAAACCAGATCTTTAAAGGGCCATCGAATTTATTTTCCCAAAAAAATTTCTGCAAGCCTGCTTTGGTAAAGTTTTGCCTTCAATTGCCCTTTAAGGCCCGCCCCGCGAAAACATCGCGAAAACCCACCAAATTGGAGCTGGGCAGCTGCGGGCTACCCTGTTGTGCCAGTGTCACCGCATAATTCTGAAGGCTAAAGACGGAAATGGTAGCGAAGAATGCTTTCATTTCTCTGGAGACGATTTGTTGATGGCTAGCCAAGACCCCTAGGGAAGTCTCGACTGATTTGGCATCTCTGGGCCGGGTATTGGACCCTATATAGTGGCCCGGAGATGCCGTCGGGGGGTGGGGAAAAGCCCCCACGGGGGATGACAGCCCCGTGAAAGACAGGAAGGACACCCCGAGGGGGACCCTCAATTCCGATCGGATACACCCAACACACACGGAAAAACGTGGAAATTGCGGGCGCGAGATCGCGGACGGATCGTTGGGTGGACATTTCCGTCTACTCGAATTGTCGGGGGAATTTTTGAGACTGGAGATGCTCTTCTGGCCCGTAAAAATCATCATTAAAACTAAAAACAGAAATCCATATCTCACGAGAATCACGGTGTGGCGCGTTCCTTATCTTTATTTTTGTCCAAATTCGGTAAAAAACATTTCTCGAATCGCGTCTATTTGATTTTCTCTCGTTTCGGCACTTACTTGACTGTAGGATTTTCACGACGCTTTGCATTTTCAGGCTATCGATCGTGTCCCTGCTGGGGGAGACGGATTTTTGCTGCAATAAAATGGGCGGGTCCAGTGACTGATAAGCGGGGGAAAGCGATTTTTTCTGGAGTCCATTTCACGTTGCTAAGCTCCCCGACAACTTCGAGCGATAAAAAGGCCACAGAAATGTATTCAGTTGAAGATATGGTATGTTTCTTTATTTTTCTTTTGATGCCGCAACTTCTTCGAGTCATTATTACCAAGATTTTTTGTTATTGTCATTGTCGGAGAAATGTTGCTCGGTGCTACAAGAAATTGACGTTTTTAGATATCGTGGTGTGCACAGACATTTCGATGCACACGATGTCATAACAATGACAATCCTGTGGATGATATGTTGATGAAACGACGCGAGTTCGAAAATGACACTGGAAGACTGTTGGCCGAAGTGGATTTGGAAGTGTTTCGTGAAAATGTAATTCGATAAGGGCTACGTAATACACGAATCTAGATGCCCCGACTGATCAACTGCATCCGATGCTACCAAAAACATGATTTTTTCAACGATGAGCCGGTGAATACATGGATTGCATTGGAAGAGGCACAGGTATGATAGAAATATTTATAAAACGAAATGTATCATTAGATACTCGTTCATTCGAATTCTATACAGAATTGGGTCGATGAAAACCTCGTACCACTTGCTACAAATCTGGCAAATGCTTTTGGGGAGGAAATTGAAGCGTTGCGCGAGGTAAATTTTATATTTTGTATTATTGTTTGTATTCTAGAAACAGCATCTGCTGTTGGCATCAATAAGAGAAACGAGAAATTGTACTGAATACGTGGCGGCTGTCAATCTACATTCTGAATTTTCACAAAACTATCAAAATTATCTCCTCGATATTCAACGGCAAATGCAGAGAATGAAAACTGGATTTCAGGTCTGCGGATACTCTGCATTAAATTTTGCGATTTTTAGCAATTAATTGACAATGGGAAAGTCGGAATTTCGGCAGAAATTGGCATTCAAGCAGGTTCCTCATTTCCAAGCGTCCTTTCAGTCAATTTTAGAACCCGAAATGATCAGCATTGCCACCATGGCAGACTACCCGATGGACTTCTGTGAGGTATGGCTAGTTTCTAGTTTTATTATTTATTTTATACGATTTAGCAAGCTTCTGATAAACTCGTGGAAATGGTCGACAAAATGAGAGAAGAAAAAGAAGTGACTGTGGATGAAAGAGAGAAATGGGTGAAGAAAGCGATCGAGGGGAAGATGATTGTGAGAAGACATTTGGAGATGTGTAGTTCCATTTTCAGCCGGCTGAATTTATTTCGGAAAGTGTATTTGACCTTCACATGGGGTACGTGGTGTTTTATATTAAAAGGGCACAATTTCAGAATTGGGAACGATGAATGGAAGAACAAGAATCAAATTGTGAAGGGAAAAACGGACCTTCAGAAAGTGTATTGTTCTTTCATTGAGGGATTAGGTATTTTATCTTCGTATAATAAAACAAAAGGATCTAAGGGGATTGCCGCAAAGATAATCAATATCTGGATATCTGCTTTTCTGCAGCCAAATCTTGTGATATCACCCGGATGATGAATATCCTTCATTCGCCAATATTCCGCGTAAGGTTTTTGCATTTTCGAGAGAATTATCCCCCTTCCTTAATTTCTATTTTCAAGTAATTTTTTTAAACATAGCATTCTTAAAAGAATTTAGGGAGTATTATCGAGAACCAACGGCGGGTTTGCAGTTGAAAACAGTCAAGAATATCCATCCGAGGTATACATTCTTCCCCCTTTTTATATAGACCGTTCTATAGATGGCTGTTTATGAATGGGTCGGTGTATGGAAACATCTAACGTTGCGGGGTAATCGTCTTCTTTTTCTATTCAATTGCCAAGAAATTACTTGCGGCAATCGAGTTGGGATATTTTTAAGAATAGTTTTGATATGCAAGTTTAATCCAGAATGTTATATTTCATTGGACTGCCTTGAGTAATTTTTGAAGCGAACCTTTATGATACAGTTTGTAATATGATCAACAGGTGATTGGTCGAGAGAGGATGGAATCAACTTCTCATCATTTATCATTCGAAGTATACAGGTAAATAATAAGAATAGACAACCGGATAAAAAAATTCATCTTAGACACTTTTGAATGGAGGGACATCACAGGGTACTGGATGGGATATCCACGATGGCCCCTGGGTATTCTGAATTGGTCAAATTATATTGCATTATTCCATTCAGCATTTCCCATTTATCGGTGAGAAACAGAGGGCTTTCGAGGAGAAATATAATGTTCGAATTGCGTTGATTACATACGAAGGGGACGAGAGGTAATCATCAAGAGATATCCTCGAAAATATCCAAGCAAATACTTGACGTGTATTTTGACAATAGACGCGTAGCTTCTTTTTATTAGCCTGTTCGGGAGATTTGGAAGACATAATTTTGCATCGGCCTCCCCCGCTCTCGCCGCTAATTCTAAGTATCGGCATGGAATTTTGACAGAGATCTCGAATTTTGCAAGTTGAAGATTTCGAGTTGGCCGGTAGATCGGCATCTATTAGTCCGCGATAAACAATAACATTTGTACAGGGTGTCCAAAAAATTGTTCCGGACTTTGGGCTCGAATAACTTTTGATAAAAGAATATTTCACCATGCGTTACCATGCCAGAATGCTTAAAAGTGTCTGGAACTCCGATTTAGATCAACTTGATTTTTTCGGTTTTTGAGTACACAACTGTACTATTGACGCTGGTTAGGGCCGAAAATTGTGCGTTCTTGAACGGGTGGTGGGAAAATTCTGAATTGGGCCTAAAAATAGCTAATATTTATAGAAAGTTAATCCCCAAATCTTAGAATTTTTGAAGCTCTAGTTCTTCTTTTACAAGCGAAACAAATTTCACTATTTTGCAGCTTTTTGCCTTTTAATTCGCAACTCGCTTCAAATTCGCTGCCCATGCTTGACCTTTTGCAAATGGTGTCTCCACATGATAATCTTTAACACAACACCAAATTTTACGTGATTCTATGGTATTTTAATATTGCTTGCTAAAACCTGCCCCAGAGGGATACTGTAGTTTTGGTTTTTCGCGTTTTTCTTTCTATCGTAAACTGCGATTTTGCTTAAAATTTTATCATTGGTAAACACCCGTAGGGGTCACCTATGGGCTAAAGATCGTGGAGTTCTAGCCATACATCTTCCCAAATATGCAAAAAAAAACTTATTTTTGCATTTAGCCACGGAAAGGCCTTAATATTTTGATGCATCGGACCAAAAACTACTATTATTTGTTTTCCCAAAGGATCGAAACGTTTCTATGGTGAAAAGAACGAGAAAACGACGATTTTCTGTTTTCTACCGTAACCCGCCTGGAGCGCGTTTTAGCATGCCAAGACAAAATGCCATAAAATGCCAATTGTTCGATTCTAGAATGTTCTCTGGGTGATTCTGAGAACGCAGGCAAAAAAATTACTTACTTTCTGTGGTAAATGACAAAGTTATGAGGGAAAGTGGAAAACCATCCTCGGGGCCCCATTTTGGAAAAAAAAGGGCCCAGGCCGAAAATCGAATTTTTGAAAAAGAAAAAATGACCGGAGTTTCGTGGATACAATTAAAGTACGCATCGAACAGTGTATGAAAGCAGAATGCTGGAATGATCTGGCTGAAGTTAATGGTTGATTTTGATTTAAAACCCGAAAATAACGTTTTTGAAAAGCCGACTTTGGGCTGCTCTTCTAAATTCGTTTGCCATGAAAAGCTCTTGTATTTGCATGAGTTCTAATTGATTACCCAAGCTTGATCTATGCCAGAAAAATCGGGGGGCTACTAAACCCTCGAGAATTTTTTACGCCGCCTCGAATTCGGGTAGATTTGGGCGTTTCATGAATTTCTTTTGAAAGATCGGATGGCACAATAAATTTGTAAATATATTTTTAGAGCGCGCCCATTAAGTAGCATTAAATAAAATTATGATAATAATTCTAGCCGCGCAATTGAATTTTATAGACTGGCACAAAGTTCTGCGAAATAGCACGAACCAACCATTTTGGAAGCGCTAAAAGGCAACCTTCCAAAGAGGTACGGTAGCTAGAAATTGTCTACATGATAGATGGACCCCAGTCCCACACAAGCAAGCAAAGAAAACGCCTAGGTTCTATTTACATTCTTAGAAATATTTTTTGAAAGTTCGGTTTCGTGACCTCGAAAAAATCCATGACCAGGGAGGGGGTCGATGAAAACTCGAAAAATCACCGATCTCAAAAATTCTTTAATATGTTTATGTGATAGTATAGAGTCTGTCCGCAATCCACAACGACTTAGTTTGGGATTTTCGCCATAGGTTTTTTTAATACTCGAAATTTACGAAATTTCTCCATACTAAACTTCAGTCCGCTATAACTTTTCAACCAGTCCGCTATAACTTTTCAACCAACCAACATGTAGAGGTTGTGAGGTCACAGAGTCCAAAACCGCTCAAAATTGGTGGAAAAACCAAATAAAATACGGGGAACACGATGCGATAAAAATTAGCTGCCAATGGGCACTTTTGTTTAATAAACGTTTCATTTTATTGGAAAAAAGTGCTGCTGAAATGCACTTTTAACTGTTTTATCGGGCCTTCCGGCTTGGAAAAAAATGTTTTGATGGAATTTTTTATAGCAGCCACGACACTAGACACCTTTCCACACCCAAAAAAATTTGATCTGGAAAAAATTTTTCACGAAAATTTGACGACCTATCCTATTGCCTGGGAAGGTTGGAAGCTGCTTACAGTAGGTAGCTCTGACTCCTAGGCGCTTCAAATCGGAGCCCGGAGATATTTCAGATTGCCCGAATAACTCTATTTTTATAAAGTCTGTGCAAAAATAATATTTATTAACTACCAGGGTTGAAAAGCCGCTTCGCGACTTTTCAAACCTGGGCCTGTCTATCCCCATAATATTCTTCTTTCTGCATACGTCTCTTGTATCCCGAAGAGAAAAAATGAAAAATGACACTCTCTACCTGATTATATAGGCTTTCCCCACTTCCGGTGCATGCTAATTGTTTCCTAACAAAGTGCGTGTCCGAAATTTTTACAAAAACTGAAATTTGATAATTAAAACAATTAATTTTGTAAAATCTGATAAGCGTGCAGTCATCCCAGAGCCATTACGCATCTAATGATGTATCATATTTACCTTAAAATTTATTCCCTATCGAGATATCCTCCGGACATGGTGACGGAAGTTGCATGCAAAGTATCACACACACACACACACACACACACAAACACTATTTTTTATATACCAGGGTTGGAAAAGCCGCTTCGCGACTTTTCAACCCTGGCCCCGTCTTACCCCCATGCTTCACCACTTTGCATAAACACCTGCATTCCTGTGCAGAAAAATTAAAAGCGCGTCCTCTCCGCATTTATATAGGCTTCCCCCGCTTCCGGTGCATGCAAATTGATTCCTAACAAAGAGGCCGAGCGCGCTTTTCACAAAAACCTAATTTTAATATCGAAAACAGCTGATTTTGAAAAATCTGATATGCGTGCAGTCGTGTCATGACCATTACGCACCTAATGACGTATCATACATACCTCTAACTTTTTCCTTTATTGAGATACGACTGGAACATACGGACGGAAGTTGCATGCAAATGCACACACACACACACACAAACACTATTTTTTTATATATAGTAGGATAGTAGGATTCTGTTGGTTGTCATCGAGCTGGAATAGGTAGGTAGACCTTTTTTCCGAAGACTTCCAAAATTTTCGAAATTTTATTTTGCTGCTCCGGCAAATCTTAGGGGTTAATGGGGCCGAAAAACTTTCGAAAACACATTTTGGATTTTTTTTTGGAAAAAAGAAAGCAAAATAAAAGCGAAAACAGCAAAAAGCAAAAATTAAAAATAACGACGGGATCCGAACCTTCGACCCCTCGCTTCTCACTCCTGCACCCTACCCCTACACCACCGATCCGACGGGAAGGGGCTCCTGGGCAGACTTCAAGAGGGCTCCCCTTCCCAGACTGGTTTTGGCGCCCCAGGTCGCGATTCTAGGTGGTTTTCCAAACAAAATCTTAAAATCAAAAGTTTATTAAACAAAAGTGCCCATTGGCAGCTAATTTTTATCGCATCGTGTTTCCCGTATTTTATTTGGTTTTTCCACCAATTTTGAGCGGTTTTGGACTCTGTGACCTCACAGCCTCTACATGTTAGAAAAATCTTAAATTTTGCATGTATCTATCTAATGCCTACAATAATTTGTATAGCAAAAATTAGAAACCGCCCGCCACAGGCGGCTGAGAAAAATACAAATTAAACTTCCCCGAACGCACAGTTTTCGGGTGTCATTTGTATTGATACGTCGCCAAAAATCGAAAAAACAAGTTGATCTAAATCGGAGTTCCAGACACTTTTAAACATTCTGGCATGGTAACGCATGGTGAAATATTCTTCTATCAAAAGTTATTCGAACCCAAAGTCCGGAACAATTTTTTTGGACACCCTGTATACTTCCTATCCTATAAGTTAGAAAAGTATGTCTGTTTTCTGTACAGCCGATTTCTCGGCGGCCCGGCCGAATTTTGAGCTGATTTTTGGCATGGAGGTGGAGAAACACATTTTTCAGTGATGCATTTTTTTTTGTTTTTCGAAATTCCTTTATTTAAGGATTTTACAAGCAAAATAGTGAAAAATCCTTAACATTTGGGCCGAAAAAAGGTTTGTTCAGAGAATATCTCGATTGCCAGAGCGAATTGGGCGCTAATTTTTGGAGGGTAGATTGAAAATCAAATTCTCCCGATATATAATTTTGCGTTTTCTCATATTTTGTAAAATAAAGTTTTTATGAGCATTTTTCTAAAAAGTCCTTAACAAAATGGGCCACGAACCGTGGTGTCCGGGGCATAACGCGAAGCTCAGACGGAATTTCGGGCTGTAATTTGGAACAGTTATGTATTTGATAGTAGGGATCACGCGCACCTTATTATTCTTAAAAAATTTCCGCGCAATTTAGACTCAAAAAGAGAATTTTGTAAAGTTACCAGAAGTCCTCCCTCCCGGGATGAGCCCGCCCCCAGGACAGAAGACAGACCCTTTCCTGCCCCCATCGCCATCTCGCCGTTGTGTCGTGGATTGGCCCCCGGTCTACCAAGCTCGTGGCCCGGGTTCGAATCCACGCCGAAGTTAACTTTTTTGCTTTTTGGAGTTCAACAACAAAACATATTTCTAGGCGCTTGGTGTGCGAGTTTTAGGCCTCGCCCTCGCTGTAGCGGCACGCCAAGGAAAAGGTACTTGGCCAGGCTCTGGCGCAGCAGGCCAAATCCTGGGGGAAAAACAGTAACTAGCGCCGCAGGCTCAAAGATTCTAGCGCAACGCTTGCTGGCTCTGGCGCCGCAGGCCAAAGAAGGGTTCCTTGAGTCAGGTCCTCGCGCCACAGGCTTGAATAAGAGAAAATGGAATTCATGATTCCTAGACGGGTCCAGTGGAAAAGGGCCGCGAAGCGATCTTTTTCCGCTGGTTTTATAGATATTCTAATTTAGTATTAGACGATATCTCTGTATCTTCGATTGCAACAAGGTAATGACTATTTTCATGGATATTATTAAGCCTCAATTTCAGCGCGACACATTTCTCTGCTTGTATTATGCTTCGGCTCGGTAGGACATCATCTGTCTTCCACTATACTAGGGAATTGCACAGATACTTCCATATTTACATGGGTTTTCCCTTCGATTTCGAGAAATACGAGCAAATGCAGGTCAGCCAGTCCAAATAAATGTTGGGTCATGTTGGAAGATGCCGAGTAATTGCCAATCAAATATTAAAAGTGTTCAGAGCCTGTAAGAAAACCCGAAATTTTAGTTGGGCATCATCGCAAAAGACGAGACCATGAAAGTGACATCAGAGAAGATCAATGAATGGACGCATAAACGGACAATGGAACCGAAAAAGGAGGGGGGAAAGCCGCTGGTATGGACGGTAGGTGAATTGAATGCGAGATATTTGTCGAATACCAGATACCGAATGCCGCATTTTATTTTACAGGCAAACCATCGACCGACATTCGATGATATCAATTGTTTCGGCTATTTGAAGGGTCCACTACCAGATATGTCTTATTGTCATGAATTCCATGAAATGTGCTGAATAAACTCCTTTCCTTTTCCAGTGTTAATCCGGAACGAGAATTTTTTTGAATAAATTGCTACGGCTAAAAATTAAACTCATTTTACAGACATTACCAACATTTAAAAATCTCTTGGGAAGTCTGATGAGCAAAATTTTTCGCATTTTTTGATCTTTTCCGAATCTACCGCGCAAAAATCAGCATATCTAAGCGGCTGATTGGGTGCGTGCGTGGGGCGTCAATCTCCCTCCCCTGCTCCCTTCTCTTATTATTTGTCGACTGTCATATTCTTTGATGGACACATCACCCAATATCCCTTCAAGGCATATCCAGGATTCACAAAAATCACGACTGACTAGGGAGGTATCTGAACTTGCCATCGAACCTTGGGAAGTCATATACACCATTCGACGCGCCTTGATGAGAGGATTCCAAATACGTAACAAAATCAACGGGAGCGCATAACGCTAAAAAGTTATGTGGGTTCAAAGTTCACCAAATGACGAAAAACACCATCTTTGAGACCCTGCATCATCCCGCGGAATGGAATTCAGTCTAAACTGATTAGTGCTTCTGGTTCAACAAAGAAAGCTCTTTCAAATGAGCTATATTACATACGGCTGCCAAAAAATGCCTCAGAAAATTTTTCGGAATGCGGTGTAAGGGTAGGGTAGGGTGATTCTGGCGAAGACTTTTCGAGAATTTGGCGTAAAGCGCATGTAAGATAGCTCATTCGAAAGTGAATTTTTTGCTGAGCAAGATGCACTGTTCCGTTTTTGACAAATTAGATTCTTGGAATTCGTGCATAGTCTTAAAAGCGTGGTTTTAACGATTTTGTCAACTTGGAGTTAGAGAACTTCCAATTCTGAATTTTTTTTCCCCGAAGTTATTTTATCATCGCTTGAGCTTTTTATGGGTCACAGAGTCAAGAAAAACTTATTCCCGAATTCGGAAATGTAAACAGTAGGAGCCGGGCAAAAGCAAAAAATAAAAATCGTGACTGGGTCCAAACCCTGGTCGTAAAACTCAGCGACCGTTGCGCACACCACTAGGCCACGCAGGCCCGTAAGAGGGGGGGCGAGGGGCGAGCCGCCCCCCCCGATATCGGCCGAAGGCCGAAAAGTTCATAAGGGGGGACCCTTATGATTTAATTTTTCCAAAAATTTTTTTGCCTGCGGCGCTGTTTTTGTCTATTTTTAACACTAGTTTTAGTGTTATGAACCCTATGTTTTCAAAAATTTTGCCTGCGGCGCTGTAGTTATAGTCATATTAGTGACAAATTTTTGGGATCCCCCCGAAATTTGGGTTTGTTACGGCCCTGAGGCCACGGGACCGATGGGAAGGGGAGCTGGGAGGGGCAACTATCGCAGCGGCCCTTCGGAGCGTAAAAATTAAAATGCTTATAACTTTTTAGCGTTATGCGCTCCCGTTGATTTTGTTACATATTTGGAATCCTCTCATCAAGGCGCGTCGAATGGTGTATCTGACTTCCCAAGGTTCGATGGCAAGTTCAGATACCTCCCTAGTCCGTCTATAAAACAGCGCCTAATTATGCAAACGCTTTATCGATTTCTATTTCTATTTTTATTGCCGCGAGCCACGGCCGCCGATGCTACTGTAATTCACAGCATTTTTGAAACTTGAAAGGTCTGATTTAAAACATTTGAAATAGAATTGACTAAAAAAATAATATTCATTCGTGATATGCAACTCCAAAAATGTTTGAATTATCAATGCTGAAATTTGAAAAAAAAACACCGTAATTTGTCATGTTTATTTAGAACACTTCCCACATCGCGACTACCTACGCAAGCTAGGCCCTACAAGGGAAATCGGATACGGTATGAATTATCTGTCGAGATTCATACGTGTCGATTATTTTCAGGGCCTGCCACAATTACATCTCCACCACCCCATAACCACCACTCTACCACGAGAATATGCGTCAGAAATTATCCATATGATTTTTAGTGATTTGCTTGAATTTTTTAATTTGAAAATTTGAAAATTTAATTAAATTTGCGAAATAAATTTCTTAAACGTTAAATTTTTTAACAATATTAACAATTTAAATTTTTATTAGTTATATTTTTATTGATATATCAAAATCACAACAATCTTCGAAGGTGATTTTAGCAAATTTATTTTACTGAAATTTTGTAATGTAAAGCAATTTAATTCAGATCAATTCCGTCAAATGATCGATTGAATCACACGAAATGGCCATTAATTCCAAGATAAAAGCTCTTTGTTTTATCCAACGAATCACCACGACAGACGATGCCTCAAAAGCCTTATTTATCTTAATTTTACACAAATAAGCTTTTTTTTTCAAAATACGGAAGTTTTATTGCGCGAGATTGGTGGATTGTTGATTTTGTATGCTAACGAGATCGATTGATTTTGGGTTTTTCCTACTCAAAACACCTTAAATAAACATTCACCTCCCGTCCTTGGCTGAAAAAAAAGCCCTGTCAGAGCCGGGGATCGAACCCGGGCCTTGTGCGTGGCAAGCGAACACAAAACCAATAAGCCATGGCGTGGATAGGTTCAAGATAGGACAGATCGTCTTCCCCCAGAGGCCCGATAGGTTTGATTGCTCTCAAATGAGTTATTCTACCGATTTTCGTAGTTTTTATTTTTAGTTAAGGCCCGGCAAGTCTACAAAATCCCGGAATTAGCAAAATGGCAAATTTTGCTTACTTGCGATCCAAAGTGATAGTTAAAACTTTATTTGTAAATTCTCGCGCGAGAGCGGTGGAAATTTGTTTAATCCGTCTTTTATCCATCTTTTTATCCTTCCAAAGCGTTGTTTTGGCAGCAAAATAATCTAGTTTGCCTGATTTACAAAGTTTTTCATTCCGGCGGCTAACTCGTCAAATTTTGGTCGGAATTCGTTGAAAAGCGATTTGTTATGAAGGACAGGGCATGACAATCTTTTGCTAGTGTAATGCGCATCATGAAAAGTTGTTAGAAATAAAAATCTATCAGGTTTTGCCTTCAGCGGCGCCGGATCGGGCGCTTGAGAAAAGGACAGATTCCCCCCAAACAGGCCAGGTCATCAAAGGGTTAATGGACAGCGTATCGGAGCAACTATCTATTCTCACCCATTTTTTGTGATTCCAGCATTTTCACGACCTTGAATCCAAGATATCGATTGTTCCCCCCCAGCCGGGTGCCACAAATTTCCGCTGCAAGATCATGGACGGGGCTAGATGATGATGAATGGGGGGAAGTCAACCTATTTTTGGGGAAACCACTTTCATCTTGCTAGTCTCCTCGATATTTATCAGCTAAATGTATTTAATTGAAGATATGGTAGGTTTAATTGTTTTGCTGGCTACACTTGACTTTACCCGGAATGTTTTGGCTATCACTTAAAGTAAAGTCTTACCGTTTTTCTTGTAAAACGGGCATCTTCCTCGAAACATTCTATAAGGACTTTTTGCTGCTAATGTTATTGTTAAACAGCTATTGCTGGTAATGCTATAAGTCAGTAATTTTGAGATATCATGGTGTAACGAGAAATACCGTTGTACACGATGTCATAATAATGAGCATTTGGTGGATGATCTGCTGATGAAAAGGCGAGAATTCGAAAATGATACTGGTATACTGCTGGCCGACGTCGATTTGGAAGTGTTTCGTGAGAATGTAAGCTAATGAAGGTCAAGCAATTTTGTCATTATTTTTATAGGTACCTCGTCTGATCAACTGCATTAAATGCTATCAGAAATATCACCATTTCACTTACGAACCGGAAAATACGTGGATTTCTTTGGAAGAGGCACAGGTATCTTGTGAAAGAATCTTTAGACTATACAAGCTCTACAGGGTGTCCCAAAAAAAACCCCCCCTCGGCATTTGGCCGTCTTCTATCGGCTCGGGGCCAAATTTTTACCAGTGATGGGGACCCATAAAAAACTATGTGCAGCCGAATTTTCTAAGCAAAATATTGTAAAACCAAAAAGTTATCGCTAAAAAACTGATTTTTGGAAAACGCTGGTACTCGTTTTTGGCTATGTTTTCGCAATTAGCATGCCGATTTTGAGTAATTTTCCAAAAAATGGTCATTTCTCGGTCAGTTTCTGGCAATTTCGATAATCGATAATATTCGTAGTGAAATCGGCAAAATAAACCTTAATTTTGATATATCTTTGGCGTTTTACAATATTTTGTTTAGAAAATTCGGCTGCACATAGTTTTTATGGGTCCCCATCACTGGTAAAAATTTGGTCCCGATTGGATGGAAGACGGCCAAATGCCGAGGGGGGGGTTTTTTTTGGGACACCCTGTAATTGCATAATACAGGTGCTCGTTCATTCAAATGCAATCCAACGTTATGTCGATACAATCATCACACCACTTGCTACACTTCTTTCTGACGCTTTTAGGCCAAAAAATCGACGCTGCGTATGGGGTTTGTATTATCTGGCGGAAACCCCTTTCTAAAGGGCCATTTCAGAAAGTGCAGAATTTGATGGCAACAATAAGAGAATTAATAAATTGTGCAGAATATGTGATCGCTGTCAATCAACATCATTCCTTTTGTCTCAATTATCTCAATTATCTTCGTGATGTTCAACGGCAAATCGATCGAGCAAATACGGGATTTCAGGTCTGCTGATACTCTGACTTCAATTTGGCTCTTTTTAGCAATTAATTGACAATGGGAAAGTAGGAATTTTGACAGAAATTGGCGTTCAAGCAGGTTAGAATTCTTTCGAGCACCAGTTATTGGTCTGTAGTTCCGGAGACGACCCATTCTGAGACATTCTATGAAGCCGACATCCACGAGGGATCATATCTTAAAATTCAGTAAACTGGCGGAAACGCAGAAGAAATGAAGCGCCTTTTTCTGAGGATTATTTTTGCATCAAATCCTGAAACAATATAAAACCACAACAATACCCTAAAACAATTTAGCAACTAGCTTCAGCTGAACTTGTGGAAACGATCGACAAAATGAGAGAGGGAAAAGAAGTGACAGTGGCCGAAAAAGAGAAATGGGTGAAGAAGGCGGTCAAGAAGAAGATTATTGTAAGACGATGTTTTGACATCTGTAGTTTCATCATTTCAGCCGGCTGAATTCACATCGGAGCATGGATTGCGACTTTACATCGGGTAACTTCACGATTTCTATTAAAAGAAGCGCAAGCTGTAGAATTAGGGAAGGAGAGTGGAAGTCCGAGGATTTCAAGGGGAAAACGGATCTTCAGAAAGTGTATTATTCTTTCATTGAGGGATTAGGTATCTTATATTCATCTACAAAGAACAAAAGAATGTTAGGGAATATTCGGAAGGACGATCAACAGCTGTGGGTCTCCTTCTCTGCAACCAAATCTTGTGATATCATCCGGATGATCAATATTCTTCATTCTCCACCCTTCCGCGTAAAATTTTGCTTTTCATGAGAACTAATCCCACCTTCTTACATTTTATTTTCACGTAATTTTTAGGAAACATTGGTGAATTTAGGAAGTATTGTCGAAAACCCGTTGCATGCTTTCACTTTCCACCAATACTGATCATCCAACCGAGGTAAACATTCTCCTCCACCCCCTTTTTTATATCAACATTTTTACAGACGGCTGTCTATGAATGGGCCGGTGTATGGAAACAGTTATTGTTTAATGGTTAGTGTCTTCTTTTGCTATTTATTTTGTATTTTGTTCTATATTTGCTATTTATTTTGTAAAGAAATTTCTTGCGGTTATTGCCTGGGGATGTTTTTCCAGAACAGTGTTCGAATTGGGGCCTAATATACAAACTACTAGCGGTCAAAAAGTGATCACCTTGGGAAATCGCCTGTATCTTGAATGCCAAAGGTCCAAATTCCGCAAAAATTCGAGGCTAGATCAATGCTGTAGCAGGGAATCAGATGGCAATTGAGCAATTTAGATACTGAATCTGAGTAATTTTAGAAGTAAAGCCTTTACCATACATTCTGTAATGTAATCAATAGGTCTTTCGTTGAGCGAGGATGGGATCAACTTCTCAACATTTGTCATTCGAAGTATACAGGTGAATAAGGAGAATAAACATACGGAACCATCTGAATTCTTTTTAGAATCTTTTGAATGGAGGGACGTCTAATTCTTCGGGATTGCATCTCCACAATGGCCCTTGGGTATTATGAATTTAACAAAATATATCATAATTTTCTCCTCAGCATTTCCCATTTATCGGTGAGAAACAGAGGAATTTTGAGGAGAAATATAATGTTCGAATTGTACTGATTACGGTGGAAGGGAACGAGAGGTAAGCATCAGACAGCCAGATTCTCGAAAATATCCAAGCAGATACTGTACGTAGATTTCCACAAAAGGCGTGTAGCTTCGTTGTTAGAATGTTTCCGAATGTTGGCAAATAGGGTTTTGAAATGTTCTCTCATCCCTCGTCCCTGAGTCCACGTATTAAAATTGATTGATCGAATTTGGATATAGATCGTAAATTTGAAGCTTGTGGAATTTGACCTCGTCAGCACATTTGCTGCTATTAGTACGCGCGAAATGAAGACAATTTTCTACTTTTGATGGATATTCTGATTTAGTGAGAGGAGATATCTATGGATTTTGCCTCGCAACAAGGTACTGTATTTCGCAATATTATTAAGCATCGATTTCAGCCCAACATAGCCATATACTTTATCTATGATTCGGATCGGTAGGTCTGCTTTACATTATTATGATATTAAATTGCATAGATATTTCAAAATTTCCATGGGTTCTCCCTCAGATATCGCGAAATACGAGCAAGCGCAGGTCAGTCCGAGCAAATTTTTGCCCGTTTTGGAAAATGCCGGGCAACTACCATTCGAATATTAAAATTCTTCAGAGACAAAAAATAATAAAGATACGATAAGATAATTATAAATATAATCGGAATTTCAGCTGGGAATCGTTGCAAAAGATGAGGAAATGAAAGTGACATCGGAGAAGATAAATGAATCGACATATAAACGGGCAGTGGAACCGGAAACTGCATGGAATAGTTGGGAGGAGAGGACCTGGACGGTGGGTCAACGGAGCGGATATTAAAATTTTTAAAGGGGCTCCGAAATCTGGTCCACGGCCCCCCGCTGTGATTCCTGGCAAATAGCCAGATTCGACCGCAGCGCGACCGCGCCGCATGATCTTTTGCCCCTGTTTGGACGCGAAAACGCTTGAATTTCAAAATTCTGATGCGGTTTTTGGAATCCTCAATGAATTTTGATCATTCTTGTCTTTTAAATTATGAAATTTGATCAAAGAATCGCCGAGATCGAAAGATTGGGTGCCTTACAAGGCATTACGACATGTAATAGCCGCCCACTCAAAAAGTCGTTTTCGCCCCGAGGACTTTTCGGTTTTACTCAAATATTTTACGTTTTTTCGCAATAAAATCACTTTTCTGGCACTTCTTGGCAGCGACCCTTTCGTTTTTTGACCCGCAGGTTCAATCCTCGGACGCGCGAATTTTGACTTCCGAGCCCCTTTAAATAAGAAATAGCGACGACGGGGTTTCAGGCAAACCATCGACCGACATTTGATGTTATCAATTGTTTTCATTGTTTGAAGGGTCCTCTACCAGATATGTCTTATTGTCTGGAATTTGATGAAATTTGCTAAATAAACGTTTCTTTTTTGGAATTTTTCCATTATGAAGCATCGAAATGATGCCAAAGACCGCCTGGTCAAATAGAAACTGCCAACTAACGTCCCTAATTCCGATCGGACGTACCCAACACACATGGAAAAACGCTGGCATATAGCCGCAGAGACATTTCCGTCTACTGGATTTTCGCGGAAAATTATTGTGGCTGGAAGCGCTATTATGGACTGCGACTAAAACTTACACTAGCACAATAGAGCATCCAAAAATATACTAAGAGTTTTAATTTTAGCTCAAAATAATGTAATATAAAATAGTTATAACAAAAACAAGTATTAAACGTTGTTTCCATGGAGGACATAGAAGGAAATCAAGTTTTCAACATTTTCGACATTTTTAAAAAATTTCTTTAGTGCCATTCGATAGAGCGCCAAAAAAATATACTAAGAGTTTTGTTTGTAGCAAAAAGATAGGCAAAAAAATAGTTAGCTCGGCCCCAACAGTCCGTCCCCCCCCTCCCCGCGTAGCCGACATATACCTAAATCGCGAGTTCACAAAAATGAGGCTTGGCTCCTCTTACTCCGCTACCGTTTGCTATGATTCGGATCGGTAGAACTGTATCTTTCCACTATAATACAAAATTGCACAGACATTTCAATATTTCCATGGCTTCTCCCTCAAATATCGCGAAATACGAGCAAGCGCAGGTTACATTAACAGTATTGAAAGACTGTGAAAAGATGGGATTAGATGGGAATCATTCCCGAAGATGAGACAATGAAAGTGGCATCGGAGAAGATCAATGAATCGACATATAAACGGGCAGTGGCACCGGAAATAGAATGGGGAGCTTATGAGTCGAAGATCTGGATGGTAGGGCAATTCAATGGAACTTCCGGAAAAGGACCAGATAGATCTCCGATTTTTACAGGCAAACTATCGATCAATATTCGATGATATCAATTGTTTTGACTATTTGAAGGGTCCACTTCCAGATATGTCTTATTGTCAAGAATTCCATGAAATGTGCTGAATAAATGATTTTTGCAAAATTAAAGAGAGGAAATAGTAGAGGGAGAAGGTAACAGGATCTTTGATTTTGTTTTTGATGGATTCTGATTCTTCATTCTGAGTACAACCCCCGCCCGGAATGTTTTTTTTGCGGGGTTTTCCATCATGATACGCATGGTGCTAGTGAACGGGCGCGTAATTCGAAACTTACAAATTAACGGCTCCAATTCCGAACGGATATATCCAACACACAAGGTGGAAAATGCGCGGGGGATTGCGCCCGGATCGCCGGGTAGACAGTTCGCTCTATTGGAAATTTGCGGAAAGTTTTTGCGCCGAAGCGCCATTCTGGACCGTGCAAATTATTAAAACTTACGTCAGAAATCGAGTCAAAATCGAAGTCTATCTCTTTCTTTACGAATATTCTTACCCAAATTCAATCAAATACCTTTCCAGAATTGCGTCTATTTGATCTTCTAGATTTTCTTCACGTATTTTCCAAAATATTATTAAAAATGCGATAACTCAGAATAATCCTGCAATTTATTCCTCCTGTTTTGATATTAACCGCGATCAAAAATGGCATATTGGGCTTTTCCACGACAACAAAAACGCTATAAAATGTTGATACAAAACAAAATTGATATGTGAAAAATACCATAGCAAAGATTTTGGATATAAAAGCTGACTTCCCGAAATTCAACCTCCAAACAACGACTTATTACGGCGTTCCAGCTGCTGTTGGCTAACTGTAAAGTGTTTTTACTCAGGCAGGCGTTTTAGAATGGGACCAAGCTTATTTTGTGCAGAATTTTATGCTGATTCCGAATCTATCCTCCAGAAGCCCCCTACCGAGTTGGCACGATGGTGCATTGGGAAGGTGGTCGCTTGCCAAGCAGAGAGCGGCGGTTCGAACCCCGCCCTGCACAATCCCTTTTACTTTTTGCACAAAAACACGGAATTTTTGCATAAAATCGTGCTTTAACGTCTAAAACCGTCATCGAGCCAGTTTTAACGTTGATGATGACGACAGCTTAAAAATAACGCAAAGAAATCCAAATTTTCCCACTTTTTTGTATAAATGTCGAATAACTTTTTTAATAAAGGTCGGCAGCAGATTTGGAAACCATATTCGGGATCAGCGAAAAATTCTGCACAAGATAGGCTTGGTCCCATCCCAAAACGCCAGCCTGAATAAAAACACTTTACAGTAAGGCCCTAAGCAAGCCAGATACTCCAAAATGTATGGGGCCAAAACTTCTAAGCCTTATAGCTTTACAACTAAAGCTAATCTGAAAAAAAGCTTGTTTCAACTGTGTAGAATGGAACACGGTTATACGATGGTACCAAGGAATAAGAAAACTGAGTTCAGAAAGTATCAAAAGGGGCCGTTTTTGTTGACGACGTTGTGAAAAGTGGTATTTCGGAGGGATAACATGTTGCCTTTGGTATCATTCGAACCGTAAAATTTTACTCTGCAATAACCGATATTGGGTTTTCAATATTAAGTCGGTTTGAAAAAATTATAACAGCCTAAACTTTTCGGCGCGCGCTCGCCCAACTCCTACGGACTTTGGCGCTGTCGGTACGGGGTTTGCCCCTGACGGAATTTTTTTGGACTTTTTGTCAGTTCGACCCCTGAGCCCAGAATTCGTTCTGCTTTTTAATTCCTGAACACTTTCTAAACGTGGAATCTAGTCCAAAATTAATTTTTTTTGTAGTATGTCCCAAACCGGTAGCGTTGCACTCGCGTCTCAGGGATTGAAATCAACTGGCCCGCTTGCGCCTACACCGATGCTGTTCAGAACATTTATGTAACGCACTGCGATAATTAAATTAAAATAAATAATAAAGGCAGCTTCCTAACATAAAAAGCAAAACGAATTCTGAGCTCAGGGGTCGAACTGACAAAAAAATTCAAAAGAGAGGCAAACGCCGTACTGTCATAACCGAGTGGATCCGGGCTCTATGCCAGAGACACACACCAGTTACGATCTTCCCATGTTGGGGCTGTTACTACTCTTCTAGTTAGGAACCCTAATCCTAACTTAACTGGCTCCGCGCCATAGGTTGTTCTATACAATGTCCCAGATACGAACTATGATTAATGCTACGGATTTGTGACGTTGACACTCTTTTGACTAGGGGGAAACTCATGAGAAGGTCTTAATGTATAAAGTGTATTTGTTACCCACGGACTTGTTATGAGGGGTTTATTAGAGTAACTTAAACTGTCATATAACAACTGGGGACGGGAAAGAGAGACCGAGAAAGGAAGTCGGCCGGCGCGGATACAGACCCTAACAAATATGATTCTTAGGATTTATAAAGCATCAAAAGGGGACGGAATCCCGTCGGCCCGAGAGGGCCCCCGGTCTCCTGTGGGACTTCGAGTTGGCTGAGCTTAAAGGAGGGTCAGGGGGGAAGGGGGGATCTAGAGTCTGGAGGATCGACTGACTGATTTCGGGAATCGAGGGGATGACCCGCTTGGGGGGGCGGGGCAGATAATGGTGCCGCAGGCACCATTAAGCATATGTGCAGGCACCATTAAGCGTATGTACTACAGTACCGTCTGCGCCAAATCGCTATGGGGAAGGGAAGACGGGACCTGGCTTTCCGACAGAGGGGACCTTCGGAAGGAAATCGCTCCGCGCGTGGGGGAATCATGCCGATTTCTGCTAATTCTTTAATTTAATTATTAAAAATCAATCGCTATCGTTTCGCAGCAATGGAAAACGGGAACTTGCTCAGTTTTTCAAGCTGCTTCGAATGAGCTAGGTCTCGTTACGAAACTCCGTGCCCACCTAAAAACGTCTCCTTGTTAGTTTGTTTCTAATATATTTCGGTCATTTTTGCAAGCCGCTAAATTCCTTTCAGGACCGAAAGTAGGGAGGCACTGGAAGTGCGAGACGGACAATGATTGTGGCCCTCATAATGAATGCATCCACAACGCGAATGGTGAATGGAGATGTCTAAATCAGCCGAATTATTGAATCACACCGAATGGTCATTAATTCAAGATAAAAAACTGTTTATTCCGGTGATGCCAATCACGATACTTTTAGACAAGGGAATTTTCCTCGGCTCTAGTAGACTTTTCATTAATTTTTTCTGTCTTTCCATCCATATTTTGGACAATTCAAGTTATCGATTATTCCCTGGCGAGGTGGCACAAATTTTTGCTGCAAGAAAATGGGCGTGACCAAATTCTGATAAGCGGGGGAAACCGACTTCTTCTTCTGGAAGCCTTTTCACTTAGTCTTCTTGACATTTTCTAGCTGAAAACTCTGAGCAATGTATTCAGTTGAAGACATGGTATGTTCCATTACAGGGTGGCCCGAAAGAGTGCTGACCAAAACTTTTTCGTTTTTCTGAAAAAATAAATAGAAGCAGAAAAGCTCATAAAAACACATTATATTTTCTAAACAATTATCTTCCACATGATATAGTCATTTTTTCTCCCGCGTCCCGCCACTGGAAAAAACTGCGGGGACGCTGATGGAAAACGGGGGTGCTGGCACGGAGACACTCCGAATTTCACTGATAACTCGACGAAGACTTTCCGAGCGAATTCAAATTTGGATGGGAAGTAGCCAAGACTCTGGCCTTTCAGACCTACAGCACGAAAAAATCTGCGGGGTCGGGTTGGGGCTGCATGATGAGTCTTTTGGTCGTCTAAAAACGGTTTGTTGAAAAGCCTTAATAACGGGCCTCAGTCACTTGACCATGTTGGAGAGTTCTAAGCCATAGCTGCAGCCCGCCAGAAAGGACAGGCACCCTCCTTAAAGTGATGGGCAAGGTGTCGATAAGTATTTTTATCAACAGGAATTTTTTTTAGATTTTCTTTTTTCGTCGTTTTCGAAAATCCCAGACGTTGAATTATGCAATTAAATTGCTATTCAAAAAGCTGGGTTGCTAGTGCGC